AACTAGATACAGTGGACTCTTCTCATCCTTGTTAGGCGGATGTGTGTTTGGATATTGGGTTTGGGTCGCCCATATAGATTGACCCGACCCGTTTTAAAGGAGATATGATTAAAGGAAGTTATCTAGGGAAGGTTTAACTCCTAAAAAATAAAACTACCGCACGGTGAAAAGTAAGTGGGAGCATGGGATCAGCGTGGGATCAGTTTATCGATAGTTTTTTCTCTGACAACTTCCCTTCTCTATATAATCAAGGATCTCCTTCTTCAGAGATTCAATACTCTGTGCAATTCTCAATTCTCCCTACAAAGATAGAACACACTAAAAGAAAGAAAGTATCTAGTTTGTGAAAAGTATTTCGTTTCCAAGAGAGCGAAGTTGAACTTGAACAATTGATCAAAACAGGTTCTGCAAGACTTCCGCTACTGTTAACAAGTACATAAATCAATATCTCTGTCACTCGATTTTAGTTAACAATGTGAATAGTCAGGATCTTCTTTAACCATATTTCTACCAAATCGACATCCCAATGCATTGCAACTTCGTGCAAGGCCGGATTTCCATAATTGTTGATAATTCTCAGAAACTCCCTAGTTTTACAAATGCTAGATTCTATCATAATTTGATTTTTGGAATTAATCTGCTTTAAGGAGGAATTGATGAGTCTGATTCTCATAAAATACACATACATACATACATACATACATATACGTGTGTGTTTGCGCGCACAAAAAGTTAGTCTCACCTTTTATTTTTGTTTAGTACTTGTTATTTATTGTACTAGTCTTAGGGTACGCGCTTTGCGCGTGTATCTACGCGTGTCAATGGACATATAAATTTTAAAAATTAAGTAAATATTATTAAATAATGTGTTTTCCATTATTGAACATATATTAAAGAAAAATATATAAGTTCCTAAAATAACGAATGTTAATCTCACTAAGTTTTGATATGCCCTAGTTATGATTTATGAGGCTTGAAATATCTTTTGAAAATTATTATTATATTTTTTACCAAATACTATAAGAAAATAACATAAAAATACTTTTACCACAATTATTGAAAGATAACAAAACAAATTGAAGAGTTTGAATCTTTTGGTATTTTAGAAATTCGTGAGTGACGATGCAGAACTCCTCATAGAAAAAATTTAAAAANGGGTCTAAAAAAATAACTTTATCAATTAAAATTTGAATATTATAATAAAATAACAATAAACATTTGTTTTCTACCTTATTTTTTGTGACCTTTATTTTATATGACCATTCGATTAAAATTTTCATATGATAATCTACATATGAAGTCTTTTTTGTTTTGTTNATTTTCTTTATTTCTTTCACGGCCGATGCTTTTCTAGTGAAAATAAATTTATGTACCTTAAAAGATTTATAAACTTGACAAATAATTTTACTTACATAATGATTTTGAAAAATGTTGAATTGAATTTTTTTTGCTTATTTATTAATTCAAAGAATTAATGTTGAGATTTCATGCTTTTAAGATAATATATAAGATAAAAATTATTTTTTAACTTTTTCCCTACTCGAACAGTATATTATTCTCTTTATCAATTTGTATAATATTTATATAATGTCTTTCACCTTTTTTACCCTTTAAAAATATACTTTATATTGGAGAAAATAGTAATTTGCTTATCTTCCTAATATTTAGGACTTCTGAATTAACTAAAATTTTATCTATTATATCTTTCTTTATTTGAAATCTATAGAAAATAACTTTAAAATTAATTAAAATTTTACTATAACTATACTTTTTCTATTTAGGAAAAAAAGGAATAGAATAGGTGGATTATTTCCACAAACTTACGCTATCAATTTTCCTTTCCACTAAGAGTATTTTAATTTGTTTGGCCAAGCTTGAAAATATTCACTTTAATTATACTATTCGTTTACCATTATTGCCGTTGAATCCTTTCTTTACAATATTTTCCAATGTGGTGAGTTATTCATTATTTATTTTCTACAGAATTTAAATAAGGAAAGACATAATAAATAAAATTTTAGTTGATTTATAAGTCCTAAATATTAGGAAGATTATCAAATTACTATTTTATCCAATATAAAATATATTTTTAAAGGGTAAAAAAGGCGAACGACATTTCGCTAAGGGCCTTCGTGCTTTTAATATAGTATAGATAATATTCTTACCAAGCATAAAGCCTTTAGCTTCAAAACAAATATCTACTTGTAATATTTATTTATTTTGGTAAGCATTAGTTTAATTTAATAAGATATTCGTCATATGTTTATAATACATTATTTTAGATCTTGTTGAAAAAAAATTTAAATACTAACATGAAGATTTGAATTGTTTAATTCAAACTTCTAAAATATTTTATTATTAAAATCTTGAGAAACTGAAAACTTGGAAGGGAGATTTTTTTTTTGGTTAAAATAAATTTTTTATTTCACCAAGTAATGACTTTACATGAATCTACTCAGATATTTACAAACATTTCTATACTTGCCTAGACTGGGTACCAGTTCAACCTATCTAATATACTTTTCCATTTACAATTATTTTGACCTTTAATATGTAACTGTATAACTATATCTCTTGTTCTCTGTCTGACTTCTTGCTTCTTCAATTGAAACCTTCTAGCATTTCTTTCACCCCATATATGATAGACTGTAGCTGCAAAGAGGAATCCCAATATGTGCGTCCATGGTCCGGTGCTAACTCTGCTTGCCACCCATTGCACTTCTTCCTGCCAGTTCCCTATTCTTCTCTGTATGCCTAGCCAGCCCAATACAGAACTCCACATATGTTGTGAGTAAGAACACTCAAATAACATATGCTCAAATGTTTCATCTCTTCCAGTTGAGCACAGTACACACCCTTTGTCAACTTGGATTCCCCATCTCTCTAGCCTGTCCACAGTAGCCAATCTGTTCTGTATTGCTAGCCATAGAATAAATTGATGCCTGGGAATAATGTTTTGGATCAGTACTGCTTGCTTCCATTCTATTTTCTGAAACTGTAGTGTAAAGAATTTGTATGCTTTCTTGATGATGAACTTTCCTTGTGATTCAAAGCTTCTTAGGATTGTTGCAGGATTCCCATAATTCTCTAACCAGTTTCTTGCCTCCAATATTTTCCTAACTAGCCAGCAGGCTTGTTTAGGAATAGGATAATCTGATATAGTCTTCTGCTTTATGTAAAAATAGTGTATCCATTTCACCCATAGACTGTCTTTCTTCTGGTTGACAGCCCATAACAGTTTGCAAATTGCTGACTTATTCCATCTGTAGAAGTCTAGTATGTTCAGGCTTCCAGTTGCTCTAGGCATGCATAGTTTCTCCCAAGCAACTAGAGCTTTTCTAGACACCTCATTTGTACCTGTCCATAGAAATGTTCTACATATACTAATCACCATATTAATAATCTTCTTAGGCAGCAAGAAGATCTGAGCCCAGCAAGTCTGCATCTCGAACAGGATACTTTTTATTAGTTGCAACCTTCCACTGTATGATAATAGTTTGGTTGACCAGCATCTAACTCTTGTAATCATCTTCTCTACTAGGGGTAGACACTGATGGACTGTAAACTTCCTTGAAGATAGAGGGACACCTAGGTATCTGAATGGAATTTCTCCAGTAGAAAATCGCATCTCTTGTATAATCTGGTATTTGAATTCATTAGACACCCCTGCTATATACAATGAACTCTTCTCCATATTGGCTTTAAGTCCAGACACTTCAGAAAAATGATTAAAAGCCTGCAGCATCAATTGGATTGAAATTTTGTTTGCCCCGCAACATAATAGCATATCATCTGCAAAATATATATGAATTAGATTGAGCTTTGAACATCAGGGGTGATAGTTAAAGTCAGGATTAGCATTCAACTACTTCAAGGTTCTGTTCAAGTACTCCATTGCCAATACAAACAGGTAGGGTGACATTGGGTCCCCCTGCCTGAGTCCTTTTGTTCCTTGGAATCTGGTAGTCAGTTCTCCATTGATCAACAAGGCATAACTGACAGTTGAAACACAAGTCATTATCCAATTTACCATCTTCACAGGAAAACCAAATTCAAGCAACACCATCTGTAAAAAATTCCACTCCACTGAATCATAGGCTTTCCTAATGTCAATCTTTACCATACATCTAGGTGACAGCCCTTTTCTAGAGTATCCTTTCACCAATTCATGAGCTACTATGACATTGTCTAGTATACTCCTCCCTTCAATAAAAGCTGACTGAGATGGACCTACTATCATATCCACAATTGTCTTCAACCTTTTAGTTAATATTTTAGCAATAGTTTTGTATATAGTTGAACAACAAGCTATTGATCTAAAATCTTTAACCAAAGTGGGAGCTGGAACTTTAGGAACCAGGGTTATAGTAGTACAGTTAATTTCTTTCAGAAGCTGGCCATTCTCAAAGAATTGCATAACTGCTGTTATTATGTCTTCCCCCAATAATATTCCAGTTTGCTTTAAAGAACTCAGGTGGGAAGCCATCAATTCCTGGAGCTTTATCATTGGGAAGGTTTTGAACAATTTGACTTACCTCCTCTCTAGTAATAGGCTTAATCAAATCTTTCTGTTGGTCAATAGTTAGGCATGGACCATTCCTTGCAACAGTTGTATCAATACAAGGCAACTCCTCAGCAGCAGTACCCAATAGCTTCTTGAAGAACTGAAGAAATTCTTGCTTAATTAGTTTTGGATCGGTGATTAGTACTCCTTGTTCATTCTGTATAGAAGAGATCCTGTTCCTTTCCTGTCTAGCTTTCATATGAGCATGAAAGAATCTGGTATTAGAGTCCCCTGAGGAAATCCATGTAGCTCTGGATTTCTGTCGAAGGACTCTTTCATGAATAGTGCCCCATTTTTCCATCTCTGTTAGTATCTCTTTCTCTTCATTGATCAGGCTACTGTTAAACAAGTCTTCTGCTAACTTGTCTTGAATTTCCCCCAATGTGTGCTTCAAATTCATTATCCTGCCTTCTAATGACGAGTATTCTTTATTCAACTATTTAGTCTCTGCTTCCACCAACTTTAACTTCTGCCACACTCCATACATACAATGCCCCTCAATGGTCTGTTGCCACATATTCTGAACAATTGCCTTGAAAGCATCCTATTGTAATAGGACATTAAGCAGTCTAAATGGTTTCTTAAGGTATTGTTTAGCTATCACAGTGTTAATTACAATGGGAGAGTGATCTGAACACTCATAATTCAGATAATTGGCTTCAATACTACCATAAGTTTGTAACCAATCAGCATTACCAAACACCCAATCAATATGACTATATATCATTTCATTCTCATCTCTTTTGTTGCACCAGGAAAACAGCCACCCTTTTCTAGTCACCTGTCCCACTTCTGTGATACAATTCTGGAAATCCACAGTCTCAGCAGGATGAACTGGTACTCCATTAACTCTATCATCACTAAACAGTATGGTATTAAAGTCTCCAAATAGGATCGAAGGTCCATTTATAGAACCTTTAATGTTCCTTAGTTTATCCCACAATGGTTTTCTCCCTGCATTGGTATTGTAACCATACACATATGTCAATTCACAATTGAATTAAGATTGTCTATCCTCAATAAAACAGTGAATCAACTGTGCAGTACTATATCTAATATTCACAACAACTGAAGCTCTCCTCCATCCAACCCATATTCTTCCATTAGGGGCATGAGTATAGTCTGTATAGAACTCCCAATCATTTCCAAACTTTCTGATAACTTTTACAGCTTTATGTTGTTTAACTCTAGTCTCAAGGCAACCAATCAGATCTATCTTTTTTCCAAGAAAAAATCCTTGAACTCTTTTTGCTTGTAGGCTTTACTAAGCCCTCTAATATTCCAGGAACAAAAGATCATGGAGGTTGTTTCTTAGCAAGTATTTGGCTTACTCTCTTTTCAACTGCTTCTTCATAACATCTCAAGGATGAGTATTGGTTTATCCCCAGAGTTTCCTCTAAATCACTATCCAAATCTTCCTCTTGGTGACTCTGTACCTCATGCTGATTTCCCTGCCTTTGTCCTTGAAACACTACTACCTGCTTCCCACTTCTTTGAACTTGCACTTTGGTATGAGCACTATGATCTTCCTCAACTGCAATAGGATCTTGTGGCTTGATATTTGGTTTGTCCTGCTTAACCTTCCATTCTTTCTTCTCCTGTGATGGCTTCTGCTTCCCTTTTTTCTGACCTTTCTGCTGGACATTTTGTTCCTGCTGATCCTCTTTTCCACAACTTTTAGTGAAATGCGCAAAATGCGCACAGTTTTGACAGAACCTAGGCTTCCACTCATAGTCTATGTCTTGCTCCCATATGGTTCCATCAGATTTTTCAATAGTTATCAACTCTGGAAGTTGCTGAGTTATGCACATCTCAATGAGGACTCTAGCATATGATATCCTATCTCCTATTGCTGTCAATTTATCAGTACATATTGGCCGACCTAGATAGCTAGCCAACCTGCCCAGATTCTCCTCAGTCCAGCATTGAAGAGGTAGCTTAGGGAAGGATACCCGTAGTGGAACAAGTCACGGAGGCTCCTTGTTCATTTTGAAATCCGGTATCCATTCCTTTAAGATCATCAGCCTACTATTGAAAGTATATGGTCCATTCTGAAGCAATAAGTTCTTATTATCTTCCGATTCAAATTTGAATATGAAGTATTGATGATAGGCTATAATTACGTATTTTAGTCACTTATTACACTCCAATTTACTGCACTTTAGTTGAGTTTGAGCTTTAATCGCTAGTGTCTTGCACCAATTATGTGTTTTATGCCTTGTAGGAGTGATTCCGAGCTATATAGATGTTATGGAATGAATTCAAGATATTTGGAGCTTTGAAGTCTGAGTAAAAGCCCAAGAAATTAAGCCGAGATCGTATTCGTGGATCAACACATGATAGAGCAACAAAACGAAGAATCGAGTAGGCATATCGCGTACTGTCTAGTAAAATGCACATAACATTTTTCTCAGAACTCCGTTTGGTCTCTACAATATATGGTTGGAAAGCTAACTCAAAGGGCTACAACTTTCATGTTTTACGTTTTTCCAAATACCAAACGGAATAGGGTGAAATAAGCGGTCGAAACTGCAACCGCGGACCTGAGACGGGCTGAGGCAGTATACTTGCCATATACCGCGGTCGTACCGCGGTTGACCGTGGCCGCGGCTGTCCAGACGTGAAAAATTGTCCTTTTTCGCGTAGGAGAAGGTATTATAGTTTGGGCCCGGCCCTACTTGGTATATATACATGGAAAAAATGTATTTTAAAGGGGAGACCAATGTTTGACACACTTTTGACATAATTTAGACCTAAAGAGGCTAAGGAGACCGGGGATTCGACCTAAGGAGTCAAGAACACACTGGGAGCAAGGCGGAGAATTCTTCAACGAGTTTTTCCTTCCTCTTCCTATTTTTTTCTTTGTTGGTTATGATTTTTAGAATTGTAGTTTTACATACTATTATGAATAGCTAATTTGTTATCTAGGGTTTTGATGGAACCTTTTGTAGGATAAATTTTTGTTATGTTTTTATATAATTGAGCCTTTGGATTTCTCTACTTGTTCAACTACGTGTTTATTGTTGTTGATTGAATGGCCATCGATTGACTGTGACTATTTATTATGTGTTTCTTGAGAAAGGATACATATTTAGGTAGTTGTTGAACAACACCACTCCTAACGTATGTGAGAGATTAATACGGAGGGTTTAAAGGCGGAATTAGAGATAACGAAACCTTGGTGCGATTGTAGTGAGCAGTGAATTAATGTCAGCTAGTGTAGTTCGAGAGAATACATCTAGTAAATTGTGGTAGTTGCTCGAGAGAGAATTACGACAACCAAAGTACTCACAATCGGTAGAGAATACATTGGCGAAATTGTAGGGAACATAGCTAGAAGGATTTCGACAATTGGGAAAATCATAACTCTAGACCTCCTTAATTTTGTCTCCAACCCTTTGTCTCGTTAGTTGATAATTTTATCGCTTTGTAGTATTTGCTAGTTAATTAGTTAGAAATATAAATCTCAATCTTTATAACTTAGAAAATTGTTCAAACTTGTCTTCTTAGTGATATTAACAGATACGGCTAAGCCTTAGTTCTCTGTGGGATTCGACTCCGGACTTTTAGACTGGATTATATTTGCAGCGACCGCTTATCCTTTTTAGGACTAGAGTTGGGCGTGATCAAATTTTGGCGTCGTTGCTGGGGAACTAACGGTGTAGTTGTAGCTGTATATATTGCTAGGTTTTGAGTTTGAACTTTTTTTTGTTTTTTTTTTGTTTTTTTATTTTTATTTTATTATAACTGATGATTTGAGAAACATGACATCTTGGAATTATGGGAATTTAGGTGTAGATAATTCTACTATTGATCTCCATACATATTGTGAAGGAAACCACCCGTGGCAAAATTTTCAAAACATTCCTGAGAGCGAGTTATGTGCACCAACTCAATCTTATTTGTGGAATGTGTGTGATGTGTGTGGTGATAAAAATGGTCACTTTTATGGTTGTGCTTGTGAGCACGTGATTTTTGCCTCGCTTAAATTATTCCTATAAAAATTCATAAAATTAGGATTTTCTTTTATTATTTGATTTTTAGAATTTAATTGCATGATTTTGTGATTGTTTACATTTTTGTGTGCATTTTTAGTTGGCTTAATTCATAAAAATACCAAAATAGTACATTCGCATCTAAATTTGATTTTTATATTTTTAGTTCTACCAATTAAATAATATTACCAAAGTAATAGAAGAAATAACAAAATAGTCGTTTTTTTACATTTTTTGGTTTGACTTTCTTTTGAATTAGGATTTAGTTAGTTTTAGAAAATTAATTAGTGCAATTTTGGAATTAAATCATGTCTATTAATTTTAATTTTGTATTTGACAAAAATCTAAAAAAATTGAAATGAAAATGAAAGAAAATAAAAGAAAGGAGAATAAAAGAGAAGCAAAGCAGATTGGGTCGTTCATTGCTGAACAATTGATGGCCCAGTCTTTTTAAAAAAATATTGGACCAACCCAAGCCCAACCCCAAGACCACCCGGTCCAGTCGCCCCATATTCAAAACGACGTCGTTTTGACGTCGTTTAATCCAGACCATCCATCCCCTCTAATCCAACGGCCTGGATTGATTCTCGAATTATAATAAAACTGTCCTAAAAGTTTGAAAACCCTAGAGACCAGCCCCCCCTTTCCTCGTACCCCTGTCCCTCTCCGCCTCCACCACCGTATCTTTGCCGGAACCCTCGCCGGCGGGAAACGACTTCCATGCCAAAAATCATCAGAAAAACAGCATAGATGCTCCTTCTTCTCCTCTTCCCAACCCCCACGATGGTTTTCTTCGAATCATAGCCAATCTCGTCGAATATTCCATCGAAGATTTTCCGGCCAAATCACAAGTCGGCCCAATGAACCCAAAATCATACCAGGCAACCGTCTTCCTTGCCTCATCGCTATTTCATGCCTAGAATCCCTCGAATCCAAGCAGAAGGCCCTGAATTGTGGATCTAGAGTTTTGGAATTGAACCTGTTTTGAGGAGATTTTCAAGGTCGAGTGCTTTCTGTAGTAAGTATTTTGTAGCTCTATGATTCTCTTAGTTAATTCCTCTGTTGCTTCTTTTTCATCTGTCTTAATCGGTGAGGTCGCTTTGCATTTTAAGTTTTGTTTAATTTGATTCATGTGTAGTTCAATTTCCAGACATTCTAATTGTTAGTTTAATTTCGATATAGTTTCGTCTTGTTATTGTTAGCAAATTCTGAGTCGAGGTCTTTTCTTCTTAATTCCAAGATTCAATAGAGTTTCTTCTTGTTAATGTTTCCAGCCCGCCTTGAAATTATTTGAATTAATGATTCTGTTAGTTTAAGTTTAGTTCAATTGAGTTTCAGTCTTCATTTGCAGTTTGATTAGATTTTAAGGTTTGGATATAGCTGAGTGATCATTTGTTAATTAACTTCAGTTAAATTCGAGCTAGGGTGAGGGGATTGGGATCAGTTAACCATTGATCTGTAATTTTCAGACTAGTAGAAGGGTAATTTAGGCATAGAAAAGGGTAGTTGTATTAGGAATAGTAATTTTAAAGTAGGGAAGGGGTAGTATAGGAATTGTAATGGGTATAGGACCTTCTAGAATAGACTTTAGTATAGTTTTCAGCAAAAAAGAGGAACTTACTTGAGTAACAAGTTAGAAATAGGAGGGCTAAAATGAAATTAAGCCTAAAATCTGATTTACCCTCTTTTGTCACCTATAAAAGGGCATCAA